CCAGATCCTGATGGGAAAAAAGGAATGTGATTGCTGTCTAATTCTGTGATCTTTCTAAGAGTAGAAAATGTGTCTTTTTCCTTTGAAAAAATTGTCCAAATTTGAAGAACTCGAAATTAACATGAAACTTCTTCTTTCATAAGTGTTGCCATTATCAGCTTTCAAAGCTGAACTAGTCTCCATCATTATATACAAATTTACATCATTATGTAAATGGCATCTATCCATCTCTAAGCCTGTTACAATGAATTCATCTTTTATTCATCTTGTGGTTGTATGCTGGGCATTTTGTGCCATGTCCAAGATAGTCATTTTGGAAAGGGACATCCTAAGAATTTTGTTTTCTTAGCTTTCTGTTAAGGTCTTGTAAAATTGCTGGACTTATCTCACATAATTGCAAAGTGTCCTTAGCATTAACTTTTCCAAGTACGTGTCTGTTAGGCTTATTATAATATCCCCCTTCTATTTAAACATATATAAACCTTTAGCAGGGCTGTAAAGAAAGTACCAAAATGCTCATTCCTTCTAGGCAATGATGCCCCCTTTCTCCAGCATTGTACATCAGGTGTCTTCTCACTGTCCTCTGACTCACCTGTTCTTACTAAATAATCTTGTATGAATAATTTACACCTTAGACATAACAAGAAAAAAAACCTTTATTACTTGATGTGAATTGAAAGGTCTTATCCACTGCCAAACATATTTTAAAACTCAACCTAAAGATATAGGAGAAGAGTGGTCTTGCTCCCATCTTTGGAATTATCTATGATTACTCCACCACCTACACAAAAGTCAGATCCTGTTTTGAAATGTCTGCAAACATTGAAAACCTCTAAGGATGCTCACAGACCAGTGCTGGCCTTACAGCACCAGTACAATGAGAGTGTTCACAAAACCCAAATCCCTGGGATGTACCATTAGAGATTCTGGTTCTGTAGGTCTGGAGAAGGGATCAAGGGAGGGAGAGAGGAAGGGAAGAAGAAAAAAAAGTGAACAAATAATTGTGGTAAACTCCAGATCCAATTTTTATTAATGATATATGAGCAGTTTATGAGATTTCCTCCTCCAAAGCCTGCTCTGAAAGTTTGCTCATTTAGAAAGATGTGCAGGATGCCTGAAACAAGCAACAAGCATGCATGTTTGGGGGTGGGATAAGCAAGGATGAAAGAGGGCTATGGTAATCATCCTGCTTCATAGAAAGCAAGGTACAATGTTTCCCCCAAGTCAGTTATAATTACAAGTCCAGTGGTTTCATATTTAAAGCCTTGAATTCATAAAACTAACATTGCATTTAATTAAGACCCCGAGCATAATTTTTAATCTTCATTCTCTCCCAAATGGACATTTGTTAAGGTTTCTCTGGGGTCTCATATCAGATGGATTAGTTACAATCCTTTTGTTATAGTATTTCCTGGATGCTCTTGAAAAATAAGCAATATTTAGAGGCTCATAAAAATTTTTTTCAATGGCACCCTATCTGGTGTGGCTTAGTGGGTTGGGCATCATCCCTCAAACTGAAAGGTGAGTGGTTTAACCCTCTGTCAGGGCACATGCCTAGGCTGTGGACAAGATCACCGATTGGAGGCATGCGAAAGGCAACCAATGTACCTCTCACACATTGATTTAGTTTCTTTCTCTCCCTCTCTGTCCCCCTCTCCTTCCCCTCTCTCTAAACGCGGATAAATACAATGTTAAAAAAAAACTTTTTCAATGGGGATCAAAGAAACTCTTTGCCATAACAGAGTTAAGGCTTCAGGCTCAGTGGTCTTCAGTCCCTTTCTGCTCCTCAATTCATTCCAGTCCTGCCTGACAGTCTTGACGATCCAGGTATATACATGGAGATATCCAACTAGAATCTTCTAATTGGAAACCTGCCATGATTCAAGGTTTATTTGTGTGTGTGAAAAACATGCTATCTTACCTCTGACCCCACAGAGGATGTTCTCCTGTAGTAATGATTAAAATGTCTTTATATTCACAAATGTGCACTGTAGGAAAGGCTCATCATTACCTCCTCCTCCTTGCCCACCTCTTCTCTTGGTGCTTTCCTCTTCATGCTTCTCTTTTCCTTTTCATCCTCTTGTGAATACATTGTGTCTTATTTCCCTGCCCTGTAGCCTAATGCTGTCTTCTTGTTCTTCACAGAGCTCTCATCCCCTGCCCCCACAAACACATTTCATGTCTCCATATAACCCATTATTCCCCCTTGGCCTTCCAGACTTTCCAAAAGGAAGCACTTTTATAGCTGAGTGTCTGGCAGCTCTCTTATCTCCAGTTTTCCCTGTGAACAGCTCACACAGTAACTTGTTGTAACAATTTTGTCCTGAGTTGTACTGCATTTTCTTAGGGAAAAAAAGTTCAAAATTCCATTAATTTACCTTGTTTCTTTTTCTCCCACTTTTTTCATTAAATCAAAATGCATTGCATTCTAGAGCTTCTTTTCATTTTCTAATATTACAAACACAGGGACAAAACAATGCAGTGAGTTTTCCCCTTCCTCATAAAGGCACCCAGAGCTGGTAGCGTGAGAGATTCAGTCCAATTTAAGCTCTATTGAAAGTACAGTGTAGGCTTGTGGTGTTCTATAAATAACAGCTACATTTCCCAAAGCTGTCCATGGTTTATAAAGAGGACCCCAATTAAACTCAGAACAGTTGGAGGAATAAACCTATCAAAGAAAATGCATTTATAGTGTACCAGACAGGTTAGACTATGGAATGAGTCAAATTCTAATTTCCTTAAGGCCATTGAGCTTCTGTGTTTTGGTGCAATCAAGTCCTAAACAATAAACACACTTGATTTTACACACCCTACAAATAACCTTTTTATTTTATAGGTACTTAGTAGTAAGTTTTTGATGATATCACACATTTAGGGCAATTGAAAGTAAATAAAATCTCGTCTCCCTAACCCCAAAAGTACGAATTCACCCTACCACCTGTTCTTTGATAACTAATACATAGACCTCAACTCCCTATGTAACCCTTTGTTTCTGCATTTCAAAATATTACATTAGGACCCGAGTCAAAAACAATGTGCTAAATTTCCACCCTGCTAATCCCATGGTATGTCTAAGTTAGAGTATGGGGAACAGTGTGGGAGATGACCCTGATGAACACTCTTGACTCACATAAGCAGGTTTATATTCTGATTTACCAAGAGTAGATGGGCATAAATAATAGAGAACAAATGTGGTGACAGTGACCAGCTAACCTGTCAATAAAATCCAGCTAAGGTCAACATTTGCCTTAGCAGATTGGGGTATTCCTACTTAATGAAATGTCCTTATTTGACATACTGATTTCCAAATTAATAAACTATCCCTTCCTCTAGTTCTATTGTAAGGAGTTAAGACATTATTTTGCCTCCCAGCAGGGACTGGAAAAGAAAAGTCTGTCCCTTAATTAACAGGACAAGTTCTCCAAGTAATGTCCTAACCTATACAAAAGAGTGCTTGAACCATTCTTAGACTTCCAAGTACAAGTCCTAGCTTTAATATGAGGCATTCACATAAGAACTTTTTCCTTCCATCATAATCACTTCTTCCTCCATCTGCTTCCTCAAGTATTGGCAATAAAGAGCTGGAAGTATTATAATGATAGTTTTAGTCCCTAGGTATGCTAGCGTCATGACATCCAGGCTGCCCCCAACTGCATGCCATCTTTTAGATGAATACTATTCTTTCGGGAAAAGATTATGTACAACCTTCTAAAACTGGTCTTAGATTTTTTTAGGAGCAGATTTTCCAAAATGACCTCAGAGATGAGGTAACCCATTCTTCCTACCCACTAGTACTTGTGTTCAGTGTCCTGGAAAAATGCCCATTTTGCCAATTAGTTCACACACATATGGACACAAATAAGACAGAGAGAAAGAAAGGTGCCTTCCAATCTACTAGAACTGAAGGACCAAACAAACAAACTGGAACTGTGACATCAAGTTGTGAATATTTTGGAAATCACTGTGCAAATTATTTTTAACTATTCACGATAGCAGTTTTTCCAACCCATTCAGTAGGCAAATAACACAGTCCGTGACACATAGCCCTCTATGTTCATTCACAGCATTTCATTAATTTGTTTCATTTAACTGTGCTTATCCCTTTCATTTTGCCTCTATTAGACTAATGAGATTTTCCCTGAATGTTATCTAGCTTCCAAATAATCAGCATTAAGCCTTCATCCATTCAATCACCTTACTAGGTATTAGGACCATATCTCTGCCTTCAGCATCCTTTTGAAACACTAATTACCTTCCTCACTGTTTAAAAGTGTGAAACATTCCAGATACAAACATTTAGCCTGAGGCAGATGAATACAGTTCTATAAAATGAAACAATAGGGTGTGTGAAAGTTCTTAAAAAAATAATAAAGTCCTTTGAAATTAGCTCTCCTAGGAGTCTATTAATCCCACATTCATATTTTTTAATGGTATATATAAAACATGGTACACTGCTGATACAATCTCTGGTCTGCTTTATTCTTTAATGAAGACAAACAAAAACTAAACAAGGAGAGAGATTATCCCACAGAGGTGATATCTGAGACCATAGTTAATGTTTTAATTTCTTTCTGGACACTGACAAATTGCTTGTATATAGGGCCAGTGGTTTTTAATCCAAATATTTAATACAGATATTATTAAGCCTCGATCTGAGCCAGGTATTGTGCTAGGTAGTGAGGTATATAGTTTCTAAAGACAACCCTTCACTCAAATAGCATCTAAGCTAGTGCATATACAAACAAGAAATAATTATAAAACTGCATGTTGTTACAAGTTATAAGCAAGCTAAGAACCAGGTGCCAGTTTAGGGGTTGGGGAAAGGCCTCCTCAGGACTAAAGGAATAGGAATAAGGCAGGTAAGACAAGAAGAATGGTATTCCAGGCAAAGGGAACATTAGATACAAAGGCACAGATGCTGAAGGATAAACTGTATGCATGGGAGTGGCCACATTTTAGGAAGCCTCCATCCTCCAGGATGCTTAAGATTGCAATCGGGTGCTTGCTTTGGGAGCACATACTAAAATTGAACCAATACAGAGAAGATTAGCATGGCCCTTGTGCAAGGATGACATGCAAATTTGTGAAGTGTTCTATATTTTTTTAGGGGGCACATCAGAGGCAACTACACATTTATGTATCTCTCCCTCTCTTTCTCCAACCCTTCCCCTCTGTCAAAAGAGAAAAAGAAAAAGAAAAAGATTACAATTAGTGTCCTTGCCTCAGGTTTTCCAAATAATTTATTTGTGAAATTGACCAGTGTTAGAATAATGTATACCAAAACAATAAGTAGGCTTTCTACTGTCACTTTATAAGGATCACTTTAAACTTCAAGCACTTAACTATCCTCAAGTGGTACTTGTTTGTAGGTATATTAGACGGGATTGAGAAGAAGGTCACTTACCAGATAAGCCAGTTTCAAATTATCAATGTGGGGGAGAAAAGATATATTCTTTAGGAAAATTATTCAGACAGGACCATTGTCTTAGACCAGTAATTCTCAAACTTTAAGATACATCAGAATCCTTTGGAGGCCTTGTTAAAATACAACTGCTGGGCCCCATCCTCAACGTTTTTGATTCATCATGTCAGATGAGGGTAGGAGCTGAGAGTTTGGATTTCCAACAGGTTCCCATGTGAGGCTGATGCTGCTGGTCCATGGCTATTCTTGGAGAAACACTGGTCTATAGACTTCTTTGAAGACATTACAGTCCCAGGACTGAAACTATCAAATCACATGAACTCATATGTGTTAACCATAAATCAGAGTTTAACACTCCCGAAAAAAGAGATCACATTCAACTTGTTTTCTAACTGAAGCCTAGGAAACTTAAACCTCATTCACTTCCCAAGCCTCTATCTCCTTAGCTTTGTCCTCTGGGCTTGTGAAAACAATGTGATTTAAATAATTTATTCCCATACTAAAAGCCTTGTTTTTGACAAGCATACTCTCTCCTGTACTCTGGTGCTTTCTGAAATATTTTGTTATATATGGAACAAATTACTCCCAAATTTAAGAAGTCAACAGCTATTACCCTTGTGAAAGCTGCTCGTGATAGTGTGGAGAGATATCTTTAATGTTTTCTTTCTGGTGAAGGGTAAATCAGGCAAAATAAATGTCAGTCTGAGGGTCCAGATACTTGTAGTGGGATTTAAATAATGAAATAAAATGTCAATATTTTCAGGGAACATTTGTCTTAAAAAAAATGGTGGGGGGGCTTTTTTTTGGCTTTCCAAAACATATATGGCATTTTGCCTAAATGGGCTTTTGCTAATACATCCACTGAGCGCATTTACTGAAACCTTCAAGCAAACCATGCTTCAGAGTAGCCTCAGGTTCTTAAATGACAAAATGTCTGTGTTTAAACAAAATATAAGCAGCACAGATACATTTTCACCCAGAAGAGCCTGTTCCCCACTTGCCTTGTTATGAAACCCTGCTGGCTGATGGAGCCTCTGGTACAATGACTCTGCAGTTATTTTAAGTATCCGTGTGGGAGGGAAGGGGGATGGGCTGGACATAAGGTCGATAAATTCCCTTACCCACCTCAGGAGGAGAGGAACTCTGTGTGACTTGCTGCCTTATTTACCCAGCAAAAAGTGGAATGGATTTGATGTGGCCCAGGGAAAGGGGGCTGGGCAGGGGGGAAGGAAAAGGAAAAACAGAACATTGAATTGAAAATATTTGTTAGTCCCTAATTTTTGAAGCAAAACCATACAGCAAGCAATAGAATATTTAAAAAAAACATTTAAATGAATATATCACCTCCATTCATTCATCTCTTTCCTGTTTCAGTGCTCTTAATAAATTGAGCTGAAATATCTGTGTAGCTCTTATCATCTGCGTGCAACTGAGGCTGTCAGAGGCATGATCGAGAGCAGCCTAAGCCAAGCAGAGTAAGAAGCAATAGCTTTCACTCTAGGCAACATTTTCTTTTTGCCTAGAAAACACTATATTTGTGGATCTCTTGGTGAGGTGATTTCTCTTAGGAAATGTGCCCTCATCAGAACTTCCCTATGTCCAGCCACTTACTTCTCTCTTCACTGCCTGCCCTCATACCAGATCAAGAGTCATGAACCCTGTGCTTCTCTCCCAGGCTCCTCCCAGAACATCAGATTAGAGAGGGCAGGAAGAAATAAAAACTAATGAAAAGGCTACCTTCTCAAGTGTCAGAACCCGGACATTTGAATCATGTAATTTAAGTGAAGCCTCATAAATTTTAGACCCAAGTCATCATACAAAAAGGACACCAAAATACCATAAATAACATAATACTTAAAGAAAATATCTCTGACAACAGAAAAGACATTTGTCAAATGCATAAGCATCAAAAATTAATGAAGCATTAGTGGATTAGTGTGAATATCCATGCTAGAGGATTTGAGAGAATCTACCCCAAAATAATTATTTGTTTTAATATACTGCAAATTATCCATAACTAATGACTCTGTAGAATAAATTCTATTGCTATTAAACCATTAAACCACAATGAAAACTATTGTATTTTTTAAATTTTAGGGTACAATTTTTAAAAATTTTTACATCTAAGAGATCAGGATTCATCTTACACAGATGAATTCTGGTTCTGTTGGCAATACTTACTAATTTTTAGTAACACGTGAAACAACAATGCAGCTATATTCATTCAGTGATGTCTTTGATTTGGTGGTATGTGTAATTCTCAATGACAGGAAAGAACTTTATCATGAAGTATTTTAACTAACTGATTATTTTGAATGACTTATTAAGTACAGACATTGGGTTTAGGTGATGAGGAGACAAAGACAAGTAGAATAGAATGTATCCCTGATTTCAGAGTTAATAGTATAGCAAGGGTGAGTCACATATAAGCAAATAAAGAAGTGCAAAATTTAGTGCTGTGGGAGCACAAAGGAGGGGAAAAGTCATCCTGATTAAGAGATTAGAAAAGAAGGCCCATGGAGGAAGTAGTTTTTTAGATGAGTCTTAAAGGATGAGAAGTCTCCCATTATTCACATTTGGTGCAGGTAGATACAGATGTAAAAGGCTGAAGAAGCAGGATCTAGACTAAAGAAGAGAAAAAGCAAATCCACTGAGTATGGGAATTGCTCAAGAAATATCAGAGAGCTGTGATATCATTAACTGAATAAGGAAACCAACTGGCATGCCCAGTGTGGGCAGGGATGGTTGGGGTGGAATTCAGATTGGTTGGGTATATTAAGTTTGAGGTCTTTATAGGATATTAGTGGGCATTTGCCATTTTTGAATGCTTATCCCACACTGGGAATTTCCCCCACTATGTAAGTCTGATTACATACAGACTTATTCCCATACTAAAAGCCTTGTTTTTGACAAGCATACTCTCTCCTGTACTCTGGTGCTTTCTGAAATATTTTGTTATATATGGAACAAATTACTCCCAAATTTAAGAAGTCAACAGAGCTCACTTCCCACTACAGACGGAAAAAAAAAATTTTTTTGTTTTCCTGCCTCTCTTGCTGCTAGGATACAGTTGTGAGACTAACTTTGGCCAAAAAGACATGCCTGTCCTGGTGTTTGAATCTGGAGTTAGTGATTCAAAAACACAAGGCCAGGAGAGAATTCTTTTAGAGGTGATGGTAGGATCTAGCATTCAGCAGTTTTGCTCAGTGTTTTTGGCCAGAGTCCCAGCTATGACACCTCCCTATAATCTTGTCTGTTTTCCAACCTGGTTTTACAGCTTTCCCAATGATGCTGGGAGATAGCCAATATCTTTTCAATATGTTGCTTTTCTGCTGAAAACCATAAGAGTCAGTTTCTGTGGTTTGAAATGTAAGAACCATAGGTGCTACAGACAAACATCAGAAGATGTCTTACCCAGACTTGGAAAATGAGCACACAGCACAGAAGGAAAGTCAGCCCAAAGAACTAAACAGAGGAATAATTTGACTAGGATTGAAAATTTAAGCCAAGAGAGAAAATACAGGTACTGAGAAAAGATGGAGGAAAAGAATGGCATTGCTTTGTGGGGAGGATGGGGTAAAAACACTGGGCACAAGTGAGAGAAGGGAAGGGACAGTCAGGGGGACATAGAAAGGACGTATCCTGAGGGCCTGCTATGAGGCAAATATCTTGCACAAGCTAATTCATTTAATATTTATAATAATTGAGTTAGATATTGCTATCCTGACTGTATAGATGAGGAAATTAGAGGCATAGACATTAATTAAATACCTATCTAAAAGTCAAATGAATAATTGGTGGTAGGACCAGGATTCAAACTCAGATTTGTCTGATTCCAACATCACACTCTCTCAATGCCAGGAGCTTTAGTAGAGGACATCAGCACAGAAGCCGAAGATAAGATCTTAGCACACGGGTTCTCAACAGTTGTACACTGGAAACATTTAGGGAGATATAGAAACTGCTAATGCCTGGGTCCCACCTCCAGAGTTTTCCATGTAATTAGCCTGAGATGCGACCTGGGGATCAGGACTTTTACAAGCTTCCCAGATGGTTCCAATGTGCAGCTACAGTTGACAACCACTGCAGTAGGTGCTGTTTCAGCAGAGAAGTGAAGTGGCTTGAAGAGTGAGCAGGATGTTAGAGTATAGAGGCCACTAGCGCTGAAGTGAAGTATTGACAAGGAACACTGCAGTGAGATGAACAGGTTGGAGAGATATGAATTTCTAGGCGGTTGGAAAGTGAACTGGAAGCGGACACAGAGAAAATAAGTGTAGACTATTCTTACAGTAGTAACTAAGGAGGTGAAGGGAGTTTGATAGGTAGATAGCCACCCAATAGGCTTGTAGGTTGAGAACATGCTTTGGAAGAATAAAGAACAATGAGAACATCTGTAGGCTGAGAAAGGTGCTCATGAAAAGTGAGAATTGCAGATAAAAGGGAGAAGGTCAAGGTCCTAGAGGAGATGAAATCTGGTATTCAAGAGGAAAGAAAGGTTAACTTTTGGAAAGTAAGAGGAAACTTTTTCAAAGATAAAAAAAGGAAAGGATTTTTTGTGTATGGGTCGGAGAGGGATGAGATAGGTGGTGGGAAAGCAACTGGAGGGAGCTCAAAAGAGTGAAAGTGTGGGATTGGAAAATTGACTGTAAGGAATGGAATAAAGGAGTCAAAACAAAGGAAT